AAAATAATTACATTTAATTATATTACTATTAATTAATAAATACATTATTTATAAAATATTTATTAATACTGCTTTTCAGAAAATATTGTAATTATTAAAATACAAACTATTAATAATACTATAATTATTAAATTACTATATTTATTGAAAAAAATATAATAATTGTTAAATACAGTTGAAAAAGAATTATTTAGTTAAAAATATAAAAATAGATTTATAAATAATTATTGAAAACATGTTTATAAAAAAACAATAAATAATTACTGAAAATAAAATAAATATTAATTATAGTATATATAAATATATAATGAATATACACTATTATTGTAAAATTTTTACTAATAAATATAATCTTGTTGATACTTATTTTCTATAATTATTAATTGACATAAGTGAAATTAGTTTTTTACAATATTATTTAGTTATTAAAATAATATTGTTATTTAAATTCTTAAAATATTCATTATTTATTGAATATAATAATCAATAACATTATAATTGTACTATTATTACATAATTCGTTATTAATTTTGTAAAATATTAAATTATTATTAATATGAATATTATGAATTCTATTATAATTATTTTTCTACTTTTAAGATTTTTTTTAATTTATTCCATAATTTCGTTATTTTAACTATTTAAAATTGTGCATGTTAAATATTTTGTTATTTAAATATTTAAATAATATGTAAAATTTTCATTATTTGAATTTTATTATGTAATATTAAATAGTTTGTTATATTATTTAGCTATTTTAGTGTTTTTTATTTAATATTTTTAGTTATTGAAATATTTAATTAATGTTTTATTTTTTAATGTTAAATTTTTATTATTTGAATAACATTTAATTGAATAATTCGTAAAATTATAATTTATATTGTTACTACATAATTTCATGATGAATTTTGTAAAATTATTGAATTATTAATAATATGAATATTATTAAATCTATTATTTTTTTGTGTTTTGAATAAATGTTTTAAATTTAGTATATAATTTCATTATAACATTTAAATTGTTCTGAATTTTTCTAATTGAAACTTTCTTTAGATAGATATAGATAAAAAGTGGGGGAGAGGATAAATAGGAATTAGAGATAGTTTAGGAGAGAATCAATTAGAGATAATTTAAGAGATAAATAGAAGTTAGAGATAATTTAGGAGATAAATAGGAATTAAAGACAATTTAGGAGGAAGTGGGGGAAAGTGGTGCCACTTGGCGAAACATTAGAAAAGCAAATCTCTCTTTCTTTATAGTTGTTAGAACTAATTAAGCATATGTGATTTTCTTATTGGTTTAATGGGTAATTATGTGGAATTAAAAAATAAAAATTCAAAAAAACAACAATTTAGGAAGGGGGTTTGGAGCAAGGAGGCATGCTAACGTGGACCATCTTGCTATATATAGTCCACGTCTTGCATCACGATCTGGTGCATTATGTGGGCCCAATTTTTGAAAGATTTCCTTGGTTCTTTTTGTTGGCCAAACAAGATTTTCTAGTCATCATGCCAAACAAGATAACGCAAAAGCTCTTTAATAGGCAATGGAACCAATACTAATGCTCCACACCAGTTATAAGATACATGGGACCTCAAAACATTCAAGATGAATTTAGCCAAACACAATAGCTGCTCAATAGGCTTTAGAATCAATAATTACACTCCACACTAGGGGTGATCATGGGCTGGGCCCGGGCCTGGCTTTGCACTTATGATAAGGGATATAGCTTATGCCCGGGCCCAACCCAGTCCAGGGTTCCGGGCATGAAACATAAGCCCTAGCCTAGGTCTATAGGGTCCGGGCTGGGCCAAGCCTAATTCTATGCCAATGTCTTTCATATATAAAACATTACATATCTATAATATTTTATATTAAATAACATAACATGCATATAAACTTATTTTATACATTATACAATAGAAAATATTACATATAATATAAATTATATATGTCATGTTATAATATTTATATATAAAATATATAATATAATGTAAAATAGCGTGTATACAAATGTATACATTATACATAAAATATGTAAGTTTAAATATGTACGGGCCCACCTGGGCCTGAGCCGGGCTTGAAGTATTAAGCTCAAGCCCGACCCTAAAATTTGCAATCCTGATGTGGGCCTGGGCCCGAGCTGAGCCTGAACTCAAAACCTAGGCCCAAGCCTGAAATTTTTCGGGCCAGGCTGAAATGATCACCCCTACTCCACACCATAATAAAATACATTGGAACCCAAAACCATTATATAGCTAATGCATGGGGCATTATTATTGATTCCACAACCTTATATAGTATCGGCTAATCCAAATTCCAAATATCCGGCCTGGCCCCATATATTTTACCATTGGCATGGAGTGTTATCACCGGTTTAGTTAAACCCCATTCACAGGATTCATGACTAGATGACCATGAATAACCCAGTAGTTAGGCGTCTTAAAGCAAACATGTATGATAGATAACATATAAAATGATGTAAGCTTGGTTCAACTTGTCTTGAACCAGAATTCCGATCCAACCAAGTCACAAAATAGTAAAATAAATTGAGCCTTAAATAAAGCCTAAAGACTAATGTTTGGCAACTGACCACCTATGCTTACATGGCATAGTGACCAGGAACTTCTAGAAGAATTCCCCATTAAAGAAAAAAGAAGAAATATACATAAATAGGATGAATTGAACTCTAAGTGGAGACTGGATTCTGTCCTACAAAATTTATCTTCACACCGTCTGACAAAACCTATAGCCATACATTTGGAATATCTTCATACTTTATTTTCCATTCATAGGAGATGCAAGGATTAAAGTATCGGTATCGGGTATTGTATCAGATAACTTGGATGCAGATACATTTAGAAAATGCATGGATACAGATGAAAAAAATATGCAAACGCTTGGGTACACTAAGAAAATGCATACAAATTCTATAAATATATTAATAGCGTTAAGTTTAATTTCAAAACAACTATAAATAATATATAAATATATTGGAATTGTATATTTAAATAATATATAGATGAAGAAATATACTATAATTAATATAGTAGGACATGTAGATATTATACAACTTTATTAATAATTAATCAATCAAGAGTCCAAGGCACATATTATATAGATTTTTACAAATTAATACATGAAACAAGCCTATATTATTTTATTATCTATTAAAGTGTAAGGCATAAAGCAGATGCAACTATTATATTTGAATTATTATATCATTTTTTCTATTTTTCTATTTTTATTTTTTAACATTAAAAAAATCAACTAAAAAATTATTTCTCAAATGTTTGATAAACAATGTTTATATTTTTGTAAACAATAAATATATTATTATAAAATGTAAACTAAAATATCAATAATAATTTATAAAAATATATAATCTTAACTAATATATGAAATCTATTAAAATTTTAAAGATGCATATCATATGAAAGTTCATAAATTTTAATTACTAAAATAATTATTTCATTATTAATATTTTATTTTATAATATTTTCAAATTAAAAAAATTATTTTTTATATAAAATGTAGATTAATGGATTTGATAGATTCAATTTATACTATATTTTTCAATACTTTGTAAACAATATTTTTATTTTTGTAAATAATAAATACATTGTTATTTCATGCAAATTAAAATATTAATTAATAATTTATAAAATTTTTAAGATATATATCATGTGCAAATTTATAAAATTTAATTATTAAAATAATTATTATATTATTACTCTTAAAAAATAATTATTCTATTAGTAATATTTTATTTGTATAAATTTTTTAAATGTAAATTCATTTTTGATATATATGTGGATTTTATAAATTATTTATTTATAAAATACTAATTTTGAATATTGTTCTTTTTAATTTATTGTTGGAGTTGTTGAAAATAAATGTATGTTGCTTTTTTGTTTGCGTGTAAACATTAATTTTAATAAAAGTTAGTTTATTACACTTGACATGAAATAAGAAACGACTTTGTGGTTAAAGGTACTTGTGCACTCGGACATACGAGACATGCCGATACGCATGACTAGTAGAATACACTTACAGTATAGCTTATCTTGTATCAATGCATTCCGATACCGATATGATATGCCCCTTATCGGGCGTATTTTAATCCTTAATCACCTGAAATCTTTGGAGACAGACCACGGTTACCATGTCTATTGACAAAACAACTAGGTTCACTCAGACGAATACCAGTTTATTATTACTTAAAATTTGTGTCAACTAATTTACTATTATTTGATAGGATATCCTTATAGGGAGATAGATATCTGTTGAGTTATCTCCGATGAACCTTTAGGCTATGTTTGATAGGCAGGGAAAGGTAGGGAAACCTATACAAAAGTTTTGTAAAAGTTTTCCTACCTTTCCTTTCCTTTCCCTACTCTTTCCTTCAACCCTAATACACAGCCTTAGTGGCCTCTATTTTCATTTATTTCTTCATTTCTTCTCAATTAATTGATAGCGTCGCTGTGCCAAATGAGGCAATGATATTACATCGCCTTTCTGGGACTTCTATCACTCTTTTGAGTTCCCCACACAGTAATGGTCAATTGATGGAACTTGTGTAGTTGTAGTAACGGATGTAATGTACCAAACGAAAGATGAGAGAATTCTAGACAGACTTCGAGACACTCAACCCTTGTCTTCAAACTCAATCAGTCAATTGGTTGGGACTTGGGACCCGACTGTTTATGAATGGCAAAATTCATAATTGTTTCGTAGAAATCTGTCCTTGTCTCATTCCGCAAAATTCAACTGTTGATTGTTCAAATTGACGAGAAAGAAAGAGGTTGATTATCTGCAATTGCAGTGACAAAGAGATGGGTTATTCGGCTGTTCTGTTGAAAGAAAGAGGCAAAAGAGAGATGTAATCTCATGAAAACACTTTTTTTTTTTTGTTTTTGTTGATAATCATACAAGTAATCAGGCTACTACACAAGATGGAGAATCAAAAAATAAAAAAAAAAAAATGTATACAGCAATTCTCAATCTTTCTGCAGTTTTGCAGTGTCCATTTCAGAGTACATTACCTCTAAATTGAATTGGACTGCTAATAAAAGGTTGAACCTTCTAAAAAATAGCCTGAAGATGCTTGCCTGTTCATCAGAGCTTCAGTTGATTTAAATTTAACAGTAGACACCACATTAGGGTAAGTATAATTGCTGGAAACCGACCTCCTACTAGTCCAAAAAGAACAATTGCAAAAAGAACCAGATATCCTAAGCATCTCTGTCCCTGTGATTTTCTTCCACTATTTTCTCCCACAACAATCGAATCTAACTTAACGTTGGAAACATCTTCACAACAACGTACTTCAACATTTTCAGCTTCTTCTTTCTCTATCTCTTCTTCATATTCCTTTTCTTCTTGTTTATCTTCTCTTTTCTGTTCTTGTTCATCCATGCCTAACAGTTTCTCATATCCCATTGGATTGCATACTAAATCGCTTGAATCCATTTCCTTCTTGTCATTTTTTTTGCTCTTCGAGCTACGAAACCTCTTTGTAAGAAACTTCTTTAACTTCTTCGCTTTAATTTTAGCGCCATTGGTCCTCTGATTTCTGAGGTCTCTAACTTCTATATTATCCTCATCTTTCCACGGAATCCTCCCCATCCGAACGGAGTCTGAAACTCCCATTTTTCTCACACCACCTAGCAAATGAAATCCAGGCTCTACATTTCGAATCTCTTCGATCCGATCTAAACTACTCTCTATCAATCCAAATTCCTCACTCTCTGCACCATCATCTTCTTCTTCCTGGAATACAATTCCTATATCCTCTTGTTCAGGTCCAAGCGATATATCGCCAAGGGACTCAAGTCTTTGATGGGCATCTGAAGACGGCTTAAAGAAAATAAACAAGTATTCTGATGCAGATTCGAAAAACAGAAGAGCAAACACTGACACCATTACCCCAAGTACAAGGTTATTCGTTCCCAAAGCCAAAACAAGCATGAGAAAAAGATTTACAATTGCCACGAAAGCTTTTTCATTCCGAACCGGACTCTCAACCACATCTTCAATCTTGTTTCTCACTGAAACATCTTCGACCTTCTTAACAACGAGAACAGGGGAACTTCGCTTGCTAATTGATGGCCTGGTGTCATTGGTTGTTTCAGGATCTAAAAGCAGGGGCTTTGAAGAAGGCTGACTAGGGTTCCTGGTTTCCACGGATGGGACCACCACTTGGCTTGAGGGAAAACAATAATTGGAATTGGAATAATTTAAAGAAGCCTGATCATTAAGGGATAAGGAACGATCAGAAATGTCCGAATGCTTCTTCTTCGAATGTTTCTTAAATCGATCTCGGTTCTTGACGACCACATCTGCGATAGAAGTAGGGAAACCGGTCTCAACGACGAGTGACTCCTCATGCTTCATTGATCGGACATTGGCCAGGAAACGAGAAATCCGGCCGACCTTCGCCTTCTTCCATGGGAGTGGCATGATCGTCACTACCGCGACGAAGATCGGACCAGAGAGACCATCAGAAGAGGAGGAGAAGGAAGGTAGAAAGAATTCAAATCGACAAGATCATGCTCTCCTAAGATATTAGGAGAGACAGAGAGAGAGAAAGGAGTTTTATAAAACCTTAAAACAGAAACCAGAGGACCAGAGGCGACAGGGGTGGGAGAAGGAGCGGGAATCATAAATCACGGCCATTTTTAAACTCAGAGAAGCCGCAACTTGCGACTCGAGAGCCGTATTCGACTGGAAGCCATTAATCCAAGGCGCTATTCTTATTCTGACAGAAGCGGAAGTTGTGCTTCCGTTCCGTTGGTTAGGATTCAATTAATGAAAATACCCTTCTACACTTTTTTCTACTTTTTGCCAGAGTTGTCCCTTTTCTACCTCTTTCTGTTAGGAGGAAGTTTCTTGATTTGTTACACTTACAACTTACATAAATAGATTATTTAACTTTTTTATTATTTTTTCTTTTTTTATTCTGGAAATTGATATAATACCCAAATGGTACTCATGCACATCAAATGGGCTCCATCCACCACCAAAAAAAAAAGAAAATCTTTAGCTTTTTTGAAAATTTATTAATAAAGTTAATTTAATTAATAATAAATAAAACAATAATACTTATTACTAAAATAATGGTAATCGTTATTGATGAGGGCGGATTTGGCCCTCCAATGACATCATGACACATAGCACCTTGGAACAACTAGTTGACACATAGACACCACCTAAGCAATGACTTGGAGTCCCAGATCGTGGTTTCTCTTCATCCATACCTGGTGACCTGCCTTCACCGCCAACCTGGCGACCTCGACCACAACTCAGGTCAGCTAGAGTTACCTCGTCCAGGGCTGACCTGCAGCACCTCGTCACTGGCCGAAGTGACCTCGATGCAAGAAGCGACCTCCCTCGAGGGCGTGCCGGCCTGACTAAGGTCCAGGTGGAGACCTGTGAGACGTGCTCACCGACAAATTCGACATGCATATCCCGACTCTCCCACGATTCTTGGAAGTTGGCCCATGTATCGAACGTTCTGGAGGGTGGTCAACGTGCATGATGTTTATCTCCAAGGATTTTGGACTGGTTAGGCACAATCTCCCGGAAATCTCAGATGCAGTGCGTGAGGCCTACACTGAACAATGCCTATATAAAGGCAACGACCCTAAGGATCCAGAGATGAGAAAAAAAGAGAGGTACGCGTGATTACTCTACTCTCTAGCACTTAAGCTCTCAAGCATTCAGCTCGCATTTACAACATACTTACTGACTTAAGCATCGAAGCGACCTCGCCGGGTTAGCTACCCCTGGTTCTCTGATAGATTGTTTTGCATACCGATCCAGCTCACCGTCTACCTGGAGCCCAGATCGCCCTCCAGCTAGGAGTAGTCAAATCGCGCACCATCAATTGGCGTCTGTGGGAAACGCTACAAGAAGCCAAGTTCTCACCTTCTAAAAGGCTAAGTCCTCTTCTTCCAGAAAGCTAAGATCTCACCTTTTAGAAACTAAAGTTCTCACTTTTTAATTTCCATTTTTTATGAACTCAAATGCACTTTTGAGCAGCATCAACACCCAAAACGAATACCGATTACTAGGGGGCAAAAACATCTATGATGAACCTGGAGAACTCCCCTTTGACAAGCAAACAAGTTCAGACCAAACTCAGCATCCATAGTGCCCTAGATAAATACACCGCTACTATATTTGAACGCCCCTCTCCCCGCGGTAGAGCCATCAGTGGTTCCCGTCGAGATTGAAGCGTAGCAGTTCTATGAGATGAAGCATGAATTTCCAGATCTGAGCATGGGAGAAGCCCGATATAGACAACAACAGAATATCCCCAACTCATCCTCAACAGCAGTCAGCCAAGACGAGGCCTCATCAGCTCTGTTTCGCGATGTCGCCTCTAGAAGATGAGCTCTTCGTGGCTTCCGCGGGAGTTGGCAGCCAATGGACTGCATGGAAGCCCTTGCAAGTCGAGCCTTCCAAGGCTCCCATGCAAGATGGTAACCTAAAGTCAGTAGTGCTGCCCCCGTAGGTCGAGATCCTAGTGGCTTCTTGTAGGAGTGGATGACTGGCGTCACTAACGAGGCTGATGCAGTGCAGCCGTGGCTCTAAACTGCTAACTCACATCGACAACAACATTATGCCCTCGCAAGGGGGGCAGAACATTTACGTTGTGGTCTCGCAAGCACTCTCCCAAGAAGATAATCCCACGAGATGACGTAGAAGCAGTCATATGAGAAGTTACTACAGAATGAGCACCCGCTTAGGCGGAAAGGTCAGGTCGCACGTCGGCTAAATAAGGATAAGGAGAGTGGACCACGAGTCGCTATCAGAGCCCAAGGGCTAAGGTGTCGAGCTGATAAAAGACCTCGGCACCACATGAGACCCAATCGCCACTTTGACATGGGCAAATAAAAAAGTAGCTTGTGCGCAAGTAGGACGGGCACATACCCTACAATGTCTGTTCACTTTGGCGTACATTGAGATCGGGTTATTCCTAACAGAGCCTAGCTCGTCAGCCCGACACTTCGTTAGTAATCCACACCTATCCACGTCAGCTCGGGCATTGATGAGGACGGATTTGGCCCTCCAATGATATTGTGACACATGGCACCTCAAAACAACTAGGTGACACCCGAAACCACTTTGGCAACAACTTGCCTTAGCCAAGTTGATGGTGTCCCACCTGGCAGCCTGGCGGCTTGGCACAGGCACGAGCTGTCAGCCTGGCACAAGTGCGAGCTGGCAGCTTGGCGCAGGCACGACCTGGCAGCCTGGCACAGGTACGAGCTGGCAGCCTGGCACAGGCACGAGTTGGTAGCGAGGCACAGGCGCGACTTGGCCCTGGCGCGAGCTGGCAGCCTGGCACAGCCACGAGCTGGCAGCCTGGCACAAGCACGAGCTGACAGCCATTGCACAGGTCTGACCTGGCAGCTTGCCCCAGGCGCAACCTGGTGGCCTGGCCCAAGTGCGACCTGGCGGCCTGGCACAGGCACCAACTTGGCGACTTGCGAGACGTGCTCACCAACAAATTCGGCATGCATATCCTAACACTCCCATGATCCTTGGAAGTTGGCCCACATGCCGAACAATCCAGAGGGTGGTCAACGTGCATGGCAGTTACCTCCAGGAATCTCAACCCACTTAGACGACCTCGCGGAAATCTCGGATACGGTGCATGAAGCCCACGCCAAACAATGCCTATATAAAGGCACCAACCCCAATGACATGGGGGGCAAGTAAGCATATTCTAGCTCTCATACTTTATGATTTTTAGCTCGCATTCTACTATGAGAGTACTGACTTAAGCATCGGAGCAACCTCGCCGGGTTAGCCACCCCGGGTCCTCTGACATTTGGTTCCTTGCAGGACTCTAAGGAGCAAGGAAGCTCGTCACCTAACCTGCCCAGATCGGCACCAGGTCAGTTTGGCACCTACCCGATACCTGGTTAGCTCGGCACCACCAAGTAGCTCATCAAGGTAGTTCGCCACCAAGTAATTCGCCACTAGGTAGCTCACCACCAAGTAGCTCATCAAGGTAGCTCACCACAAGGCAGTTCGCCACCAGGTAGCTCACCACCAAGCAGCTCATCAAGGTAGCTCACCACAAGGTAGTTCGCCACCAGGTAGCTCACCACCAAGAAGCTCATCAAGGTAGCTCACCACCAAGCAGCTCATCAAGGTAGNAGCTCATCAAGGTAGCTCACCACCAAGCAGCTCATCAAGGTAGTTCGCCACCAGGTAGCTCACCACCAGGCAGTTCGCCACTAGGTAGCTCGCAACCAGACAGCTCGCCACTAGGGAGCTCTACTTCAGCCTCTGATTCACAGGCCACTTGGGAGCAAATGTCACTGATGAGGTACTTAGCCAAAAAATTGATACATCACAAAAAAAATTGATACGTGACTAGGAATGGTTACATCATTTGGCGCCGTTTGTGGGAATCGCTACAAAAAGCTAAGTTCTCCTCCTCTAAAAAGGTAAGTCCTCTTCTTCAAAAAGCTAAGTCCTCATTTCTTAGAAACAAAAGCTCTCGCTTTATACTTTCCATTTTTATGAACTCAAAGACTATGGAGGGAGCTAACAGACTAAGCAGCTCTACCAACTTTACTTTCAATTCAGATAAAACCTCATCAGACGTCTTTGTGAGGTCCCCTCTACAAAGATGAGCTCTCTGTAGCTTTCGTGGGAGTTGGCGGCCAACAGACTACATGGGCGCCCTTGCTGGTCGAGCCTTCCAAGGCTCCCATGCGAGCTGGCGACACAAAGTTAGTAGTGCTGCCCCCGAAGGTCGAGCTCCTAGTAGCTTCTTGTAGGAGTGGGTGACCGGCATTACGAGGCTGATGCAGCACAATCATAGCTCTAAGGCGCCCCCACGGCAAAAAGCGCGGCCCGACGCGGCCTAGCGGCCTGGCACATGTGCTGACCTGGCGCGGGCACCGACCTAGTGGCTTGGCCAGGCGCGAACTGACGAACTGATAAGAGGCTTCCTCATCACCAGACCCAGTCGCCTCTTCGGCATGGGCAAAGTCAAGGAGAGTGGACTACAAGTCGCCCCCAGAGCCTAAGGGCTAAAATATCACATAAGACCCAGTCACCTCTTTGGCATGGGCAAAATCAAATACCAAGGAGAGTGGACTGCGAGTCGCTCCCAGAGCCTAAGGGCCAAAATACCGAACTAGCGAAGAACTCCTCACCATATAAGACCCCGTCGCCTCTTCGGCATGGGCAAAATCAAGGAGTGGGCTGCGAGTCGCTCCCAGAGCCTAAGGAAATGAATCGACGCTTACGAGCTCATCGAATTATTCATTCCAGGCCAAAAGGAGAAATCTACTCCCTTCGCCGAGTTACTTTCGGCTCGGGAGTGGGGGGAAAATGATGAGGGCGGATTTGGCCCTCCAATGATATTGTGACACATGGCACCTCAGAACAACTAG